CCATTTTAAGTAAGCTCTGGCCCAGAGAAGGTGACAGCATTCCTGGATCCTGTTTATATATGGTTTCATCTTTGCATTTTAGAGTTTTAATTAGCATTTTGTGGATGCAGCGACGAACTGTTTTCACAGACAGTGGTTTTCAGAAGGGTTTTTGAGCTCATACAGTGATTTCCACTACAGAATCATGCCTATTTTTAATGCAGTGCTGCCTGAGGGCCCAAAGATCACAGCCAGCAAATATTGTTTTTGGCCTTGTCCCTTGCATACAGAGATTTCTCCAGATTCTCTGAATCTTTTAATGTTATTATGTATTAAGTACGTTAATCTTGAATTGCTGCACTATTTGATTGTGCAGTCTTTCACAGAGTGGTGAACCCATCCCCATCTTTACTTCTGAAAGTCTCAGCCTCTCTGAGATGCTTTTTTATACACAATCATGTTACTGACCTGTTGCCAATTAACCACCAGGTGTGTGTTTTTTTTTTTTTTAGCATTACATAACTTTAAATAGTCTTTTGTTGCCCCCATCCCAACTTTTTTGGAACGTGTTGCTGGCATCAAATTCAAAATGGGCATATATTTTTCAAAAAACAATAAAATTTCTCAGTTTCAACATTTGATATGTTGGCTTTGAAGCATTTTCAGTGAAATATAGGGTTTAAATGATCACAGTGTCCCGGCTTTTTTAGAAATGGGGTTGTACTACAATGTCTCATTTGGTTGAATGGAATTATTGCTGAAAGGAATGTTTTGCTGCTAATGCAACTTTGCAAAAATAGCTTTGAAAGAATATATTTGCTGCATATTTTGTTGTTTTTGTCAAAATATGTAAATGATTCACATTGAACATGTTAGAGTTGCTATATAGCTTTGCATTTTCAGTTTCAACTAGAAAAACAAAAAGAACAGCTTAGCCACCATGCTAACATTAGCAAGAGTACATGTACAATGAATAGCATTTGAAATTAATAATATATACTACATGTAATAAAATAATATAAATAAAACAGATTTGTGTGCTGTGTTTTCTCATAATTTTTAAATGGGGATTTTTACCAACATGTTGTAAAGGTTGTCCCACCTGGTGACAGTTTCTACAAAAAACAAAAAACAAACAAAAAAACATACTGTATTCATGTCCAGAACATTGATAGGTCAACTGGAGCAAGTACAGCTATTAACCCTTTAAAATCCCAGGCTTATTACACACTAAAGCTTATTATCCAGCAACTACAGGGACTTCAATGAAAACTGGTTGAGCTACTCCACTAATAAAACTTTGGGCCTGCTGGTGGGCCCTGGATTTTTGGGGTCTCTGAGGTCTAAGGGCATTTTCCTTTTTGCAAATCTTCTTAAATTCACCTTTAAACGCTCTTGCATATAACATGAAACTCATATGTTTCATATCTAAATGCTCTGTTATCTTCGTCACTGCTTTCCAAAGCTGCTGCAGCAACTTCAGCGGCTCTAAACTCTCTGCACGCCATTTCACATGAGTCTCTGATGTGGACTGAATGAAGAATGAAGGGTTTCAGCCGTGATGGTCAGTCTTAGTGATTTCTTGAACGTCCATTGGTCAGTTTCACACAAAATGTAGATGGATGCACAAATCCACCAGTTACACATGGTCAGAAGCAGATGTTGTGTATCTCAGCCCCTCTCCATAGCCTCATAACTCCAGATGTGAGTCTCGTATGATCTCATGATAAGACGGAATGAAAAGGGCGACACTGCAGATTCAGGAAATGTTTGAACCGTATTTCTGTGCTGTATCATCACAAAGATAGAGAAACATATATGGGTCATTTTCCATTTGGAGTGGGAATTCAGGTGGATACAATAAAAATATTAATTTCTTTCATCCCAAAACTAAATAATCTTAATATGTCCATCTCCTATTATCATAAATGCAGAAAGAAGAGCTTCATTCCAAAGATATTTTACAGTCACTGGTGTTGTATGAATATGGTGTAACACCAGTGATTGTAACTCCAGTGACATTCTGGTTAAAACTGAGGATTTTGTAAATTGGCTGACCCGTTGGTGGTCAGGTGACCTTGTGCAACTATTTAAAATCAGTAATAAAAATGATATTTGGCATTATTTTGACAACATTTTAATTACCCAGCCATTAAAGCACATAACTCCAGTGATACATAGAAGTTATGAGCTGCCTGATAAACAAAACTATTAATAAATTAATGAAATATAGTGTGCAAGTGTGACCCTCTCATGCCTTGAGATGCTTCCTCTCTGATGAGCCTCAACCCAAAGAAGCGGTTTAATAGAGCTGAAAATACTGTGTTAAAATGTAACATAAGTCCTGATAACACCGGTGACCAAAATCTCTGTGACAAATGAAAATTTTAAATAAAATACATATGTGTTAAATGCAGTATAACATTAATGATATAAAAAGTAAACATGAATCTGTTTTATACAAATTCCTGAATAAAACCTCTTAAAAATATTGTTTTATATTAAAAATAGTTTCTCAAATGTTGAAAATTGGTTATGTGACGAGCTGTTTTACAGATGCAGAGCGACTGTAAAACAGGATAAAAAAAGAAAAATCAGAGAAATCATAAGGGAAAAGTGTTATTTAATCTTAGGTTAACCATGTAAATGTATATACCAACTTTTGGAGCAGTGCATCATATTTAAAGCATTTTTTTTAGCCCTGCAAACTTTGTGACATGGTTTTGCACAAGTGGAGAATGACCCATATAGAAACATTGAATTTGACACACAGGCAAGTTCGTGGACTCCAGAGGGTTAATGAGGAGCAGGGGACGGATCTTCTTACAGTGCATACCCAGTCCATTTACAGCTATGAGTGCTAGTGTGTGTCACTAATGAAGGGTGCAGTGATAAAGAGAGTCGTGACCGTGGCTAAAGAACACGAGGGAGTGTCTACTCTCACTGTAATCTGAGGTAAAAGTTACTGGAAAGTGATGAGCTGGCGTTTTGTTGACATTAGATAACAGCTCTGTCTGCAGCCTGTCTGAACAATTAAAAACAAGAGGCCAGCACAATCTGTAATGGCCACAAAAATGCTCTCCCTTTCTCCCTCCGTGTCTCATTCATTCAGTTTTACTTTGCTGACTATGCTTTGACCTTCAAGATGCATACATAAAAAATGTGAAAACTATAAAAAAACACTAAAAGCTGGAAGATTGTCTGGAGTGTGCTGGTTCTCCTGTTTGACAGCTTCTAACAGCTTATTACTTCTGATACAGTAATACTATACAAACATACCTGGAAGTTTGCTGGAGGTTTGCTGTTGCTCCTGTATGGCAGCTTAATAAGGCAGCAACTAATGATTATTTCAATAATTGGTCAATCAATCACTTTTTATTATTATTATTATTATTATTATTATTATTATTATTATTATTGTTAACTGCCTAAACAAACCATTATGTCTTCTTTGCCCTGTCACACCACCACCATCATGTTCCATCTGTATGACAAATGATTTCTTCTTTTATGGTGCAATGAAACAACAGAAGCTATATCGCCCCCCCACTCTTCCTGTTGTGTATTGCAATCTGTCAGAATTATCATGTGAATCATATGAACTCTATAGAGCATTACAGAGCGCTTTTTCCTAAAACAACAGAAGCTATATCGCCCCCTACTTTTCCTGTTGTGTATTGCAATCTATAGAATTATTATGTGGATCATATGAACATTATAGAGCATTATAGAGTGCTTTTTCCTAAAACAAGAGAAACTATATTGCCCCTTACGCTTCCTGCAGTGTATTACAATAGGTCAGAATGACTGTGTTGATCATATGAATGTTATAGAGCATTATAGAGCACATTTTAGATGAAACATTTTAAACATGAGTCTGTGCTCAGCCTGCTGCGTTTGCTTTTTAAACAATATAATCTATGTCGCCCCCCAGCACTTCCTGTAGTTTATTGCAGTCTCTCAGATTGATCGTGTGGATCACATGAACATTCCCAGATAGTAAAAGAGTGGTGGCCCAGTTCTGACCCACGTTTTCTTCACACCGCCATGGAACACGTATACTGCCACTGAATAATGAAAAAACATGTTCCAGGACACTGACTTATTATTCAGTGTTCAATAAAAAACAAAATTTCCTGTCAGCCATGAATAATTTTAAACCAAATTTGAATTAAATTGCAAACTAGGATTTGCTATCCGTGCTGATGTTTTGCTATTGTGTCAAACTACCTTTTTTTCATTTAACAAAAAGTGTTACAGAGGCCATTATACTGCCATAACTCTTCCAAAAGTGGACCAGATATGTTTGAGGACACGAAGGCCTGATAAGCATTCTTAAAATAGACCACTTTTAACTCACATGCAGTTTGCCAGTGCTAACAGTGGGCCAGCAGTGCTATATGTTTGCCAGAAATGGCGCACATCTGCATGCTACCTGAGTTACAGTAGAAGTTATATAGCATAAGTTATATAGTATAAGAGTATAAGGCTTATGACATACTAAGGCTTAATATTCAGTAACTACATGGACTACAATGCAAACTAGCCGAGCTATTCTTAGGTTATAGAAGTGTATAGTAAAACTTTGGGCCTGGCGGTGGCCCCTGGCCATTTAGGGCATTAAATAAATGATGCAACAACACATTAACTTTTTTTTCTATAATCAATGTCATTGCTGTTTCATTGACTTCTTAAGCTTGCTTTCTTTTTTCATGGTGCAATAAAACAAAAGAAATCATATCGCCCCACTCCCCACACTTTACAGTCTGTCACAACGACCGTATGGATCATATGAACATTACAGGGCATAACAGAGTGCATTTGTTTATAAGTAGATGACCCATGAGCACAATGACCTTTTCCCATAATCAGGGTTGTTGATGATTATTCAACTTTGCTGACCAATCACTGCAGCACTTATAACTTAGCCAACTTAAATGATAACAGAGAGTAAAAATGTGTGTCTATAATTGTATCTCTCTCTCTGTCTCTCTCTCTCTCTCTCTCTCTCTCTGTCTCAGATGATACTGTTCTCAGCCTGCTGCATTTGTGGCCTGATCGGAGGCATCCTGAACTTCCAATTTGTGCGGGCACTGGTGAAGCGGCCTGACACCGTGCACTCCCTGCATCTGGCCACCATGTCCTTGGCCTGCCTGGGCATTAGTAGCTGCACGCTGTCCACCTGGTTGACCTGCCGGCTGGCCAGCAGCGAGCAGCAGCGCATGTTCCTGGAGCGCGAGCACTCGCTGCATCATTCTCACGAGATGGCCGAGAAGGTAGAGGAAGAGCAAGAGGGAGGAGTACTAACACAACACACCCACCACACACACCTGCACACGCTCTGACACACACAATCATGTACAAAAGTTCAGTTTATTACAAACATAAATTCTCTTACAGGGAACGCACTGCTGCACAGTTTAATGTACAATTTACAAAAAATGCATTTGCTGTTCAACATGTTGAAAAAAACATATAAAATGTGCCATATTTTTTTTCCAGCTATTTATTTAATTCCAGAAATAAACAGTAATTATGTATTAAAATGTGCAGAAGTCTGTTCTCTGTAGAGGATGTATAACTTATTTACACCTAGAAAGTCAACAAAACATGTCATTTTATATATTTATGTGTACCATATTTGAATTAAATTTGATTTAGCTGCCACAGTATCCAAACTTTTGCATATTACTGTATAAAAATTATGACAAATTTTCAGGTACCACTTTAAAATAAGACCCCCCTTATAAAGCATTTATGAATGGTTTAAAATTAGATCATTAATGGTCATTAATTAGGCCATAAACACATTAAAAATCATTAATAAGCAGTTATAACACACAAATAAAAAGGGCAACAGTGATGTGTTATTTGCCTAATAGTGAACCCGCATTCATTTATTTACACACCTAAAAATGATGGCTCTTTAAGGGTTCTTTAGTAAAGAAAATGGTTCTATGTAGAATATGAACACTCAAAGTACCCGTTGCATAATTGAAGAGTTCTTTGCACCATGAGCGTTCTTCAAATTACTGAAGAATGTGCTGAAACGTGTTCTAAATAGCACCAAAAAGGTTCTATTCTCTATCAATCTGACAAACCATTTCACGATTCAAAGTACCCTTTAATCAAATAAAGGGTTCTTTGAGTGTTCATGGTTCTATATAGAACAAATTTCTTTACTAAACAACCATTAAAGAACCATCATTTCTTCTTGCAATTCTTGCTGGTTGCTTATCTTACTTTGTCTTTTTCATCAGTGAGCATTATAAGCTTCATCAGATATAACAGCTCAGATTTTCCTCTTTTATTAATGTGTTATAACTGTTTGCTAATGATCTTTAAGGTGTTTATGACCGAATTAATAACCATTGATAAACTCCTTTTAAACCATTCAGAAATCATTTATAAGGCTAGTCTTATTCTAAAGTGATACCAATTCTCACTTATATTTCACTATTTCAAATTCTAGTCCATCAAATGTTTACATACAACAAGTTGACTTTGCCTTTAAATAGCTTGGAAAATTCCAGAAAACAATAGCATAGCTTTAAAAGCTTCTGGTAGGCTAATTGACATCATTTGAGTTAATTAGAGGTGTGGCAGTATTTGGAGGCCTACCTTCAAGGCCTACTTGCCTCTTTGATTAACATCGCCTTTGCCTAACATGGAAAAATCAAAAGAAATCAGCCAAGACATTAGAGAAAGAATTATGGACCTCCACAAGTGTCCTACAAATAACCATACCTTGGTATGAAAAATACAAATCAATCTAAGATCAACAGCCAATGACCTTGTAAATATGCTGCAGGAAACAGGTACAAAAGTATCTACATCAACAGTAATATGACCTATATCGACATGACCTGGAAGGCTGCTCAGCAAGGAAGAAGTGACTGCACCAAAAATGCCCTGACAAAGCCTGGTTACAGTTTGCAACTGCACATGGGGACCAAGACCTTACTTTCTGGAGAGTTGTCCTCTAGTCTGATTAAACAATAAAGAAACTGTTTGGCCATCATTAAGTATGGAGGAAAAATGGGGAGACTTGTAAGCTAAAGAACACCATCAAAGCAGTGAAGCATGGCGGTGGCAACATCATGTTGTGGGGGTTCTTTGCTGCAGGAAGGACTGGAAGGAAAATTATGAGATATTAAGGCAACATCTCAAGACGTCACCCAGGAAATTAAAGCTTGGGGGCAAATGGGTCTTCCAAATGGACAATGATACCATACTTCCAAAGTTGTGGTTAAATGACCATCATAAAGCCCTGGCCTCAATCCAATAGAAAATTGACCGCCAGAACTGAAAAAAAGTGTGCCAGCAAAGAAGCCTACAAACCTGAGCAACTTATTGTGACAAGCTTGTGAAAGGCTACCAGAAACTTGAAGTTAAACAATATGAATGCAATGCTACCAAATAGCCACAAGGAAAGTGATGAAAAGAAATAAAAGCTGAAAAAAAAGAAATAAAAGCTGAAATTAATCATTGTCTCCAGTATTATTCTGACATTTTACATTCAAATGAAGTAGTGATCCAAACTGGCCACAGTGGGAATGTGTACTAGGTTTAATTATTGTGGCTAAGGTGTATGTAAACTTTTGACTGCAACTCTGTGTGTGTGTGTGTGTGTTTATATATATATATATATATTGATAGATAGATAGATAGATAGACAGATATATATATATATATATATATATATATATATATATATATATATTTTTATATATATATATATATATATATGTAGATATATATGTATGTATACATGTGAGGGGAGATCCTATAATGACTGAGGAAGCACATCAAGAGTTATGTTACAATAAAATCTATATCCAAAATGCCTCATATTTCAAACGTAGTGATAAGTATTGTATATCAATTAATAACTTCTTGTTGCTCCACAAAATAATAGAACATCGAAAGACCCTTTGATGTCGATTTTATAAAGTAGTAGTTAATGTGTTAGTTAATATTTAAAGTCAGAAATTTGTGTAGAAGCAAACTACTATTATATTTATTACATTATGCTGAGAAATTACAAAATTTTGAATTGTAGTATAGATGTAAATGTATTTCTTATCCCTAAAATAACTTTGTATTTCCTTGAACTGTAGTGAATGTCTCTCTCTCTCTCTCTGTGTCTCTCCCCAAACAGGAGGTGCTAGATAACTCCAGCAACGGCATCCCCCAAATCACATACAACGGACGCAGTGCATCACCGTGACAGTCTGACATCTGCACAGTCTTGGCAGGACCATCGCTGTGTGATAAGTGGTGCTGACGTTATTGGGCTGATGGCCATCAGTGGGACGCTTTTCGGCTCTCCTTGCAGACTACAGACTCTGGGTCAGGTAACACTACTGTGGCAAAAAAGAGCTCACCTCTGTGGACTGACCGCCAATCAGCATTCAGTTACTCGGTGACCTGAGAAGAGGTCATTAAGAAGTGCAGTAGATTGATGACATGCATAGAGCATTGTACCCAAATGAGCACAAAGCGAGCATGCATAATCCTTTCCTTTCCTCTCTCATGCTACCCCCCCCCCTCCTTCTACTCCTCCGTGTTGCATTCATCCTGCATCTCTCCATTAATCCCTGATGACAGGTTACTGGAATGTTGATGCTGATATTGTAATGCTGATCTGTATGGCATATTGAATGCTCTGACCTCAAACATACAAAATGCACAATGTAAAATGCTTGTAAAAGGGACAAATTATTGATTTACAGTATTTTTATATATAGGCTTCGTATGAAAATGAAATAAAAAAAGACTGAAATGCACCTACATGGAGTGGTTGTTGCTCATTACAGCAATACATACATACACTGAAACATATAGAACAAAACCTCATATCTCCATTTTTCAGTTTTTGACATAAATTGAAAATGCCTTTTGCTTTTTATATGATGTGTAAATTTCATGATTAATGGCCCAACAGAAACGGCCCAAAATGACTTGGAAAAAGGTCTGGTTCCATTGACTTACATTAAAAGTGAAGTTTTTTCCTTCTCCTGTAAAGTTACGATTTTGGAGATACAAGCTTTTGTTCTGACAACAGCGATAAGCATTGTATACAACACAATGAAACCTCTTGGTTTAAGATAATTGTACTTTGCATATACAAGTGTTTGAATACTAAACATAAACCAATAAAGTTGATGCCTATGTATGATTTTTTCCCCAAAACATTTAATATAAAGAACTGTGCAAAAGTCAGAGACCACACTTTTATTTATATTCTAGTCAGTTAAGTTATTCAGCTTTTAGCATCAGAAAAAAGCAGAAACCATATTTATTTAACATAAAATTGCACAGAAGCCTCAAAAATCAAATATGATATCAAAGTTTTTCGTATTTAGTGTGTCCATGTTTTACCTCTATTACAGCTTCCATTCTTTTCAGAGAGATTTGCTTTCAGTTTTTCAAAGAAATCTGCAGGAATATTTTTCACATCTCCAAAGTTCAGTCTTAGAAGTTGGTTACATTTTCGGCCTCTCACGATGCAAATAATCCCAAACACATTCAGCGATGTTGAGGTCTAGATTCTGGGGCTCATAACACTGAGTTGTCTTCTGACAGTGTATGGATGGACAGACATTTATTAAGTAATCTAAAATAGAAGATTTTAATAGAATTTGATTTGTTTTAGGATTCTGCACAGTTCTGCACACGTTATTTCATTGCTTTGAAGTCTACATCGTCATTCTAAAATGTGGAAAAATCTTCTTTGAGTACATGTGTCCACATCTGGTTGTTTATCTGAAAATAAACAACAAAAGTGGCTTTACTGTAATCTGCTGGAACTACTTTTTTGGCAGAAAAAAATAAAATCACTGTCCAAAAAATAAATAAATGAATAAATAAATAAATAAAGGAAAAAAAATAAATTACTTTAAAATTACATTTAAAAATGTTATTATATTATTTCACATTAAAAGTGAAGCATGTTTCTGCCATCTCCTGTAAAGTCACCTTTTTGCTGATATGCAAATCAGCACTCAAGACTTCTTTGATGTGTTTTTTTACTTATTAAATTGAATATAAAATCACACGGATGACAGTGTTATCACAAATAAACAAACATCACTATAGGCTGCTTAACTCAGCTTGATCGTGCCTCAGTGCAGCTTCTCACTGATGTGTTTGTGTTTGAGAGTGGAGGACCACCACGGCAGCAAAAACAGCCCGGTGCCACTGCTGACTAAGTTCTACTGTCATTACGTGTCAGCATGTTACCTGCCACCATGCAGCACTGTCCGCTGGTACATATAAACTCGCTCTGGTCATTGTACATTTGCCAGCCTGCCTGACCTTCACTGGTGCCTCTAAGGCTACATCAGGTCTGACACTAATGGATAAGAGGGTCAATACTTACATTTGCAGTCATTCGGCGGATGCTCTTATCTAGAGTGTCTTACAAAACAAGTAAGAAGTTACAGAGAGAATCTGAAAGGACAACATAAAAGCAATCATTTAATGATAGCTTGAGTACGAGATGATTGTTCTTAGGCAGAGAAACATTTAAATTGCAGCAGTAGGTTGACAATAGGAGCAAACAAGCCTCATCTGCATGTAGAAAGAAAGAACTTCCCAGCAATTAAACAGATCAGGTAAGGAGGCTTAAACATTCTTTGAAGCGATGCCACATAATATTTTTGGTTCTATACCAACGTCATCAGAGGATGGTTCTTTACAGAACCAGTTCTATAAAACATCAATTAAAGTTTTTTTTTTTCCTAGAAATTCACCCCGAGTCAAGAACCATTCAGTAGCTTTCATTTTTAAAGGAGAATTCCACTAAGTTTTTAAAATTGCTGCATAGTTAGATCATTCAGAGTCATTCAGAGTGGTTTGATGTGAAATTCAAAGTTTCACTGTGGAGAAACCTGCAGATTTCTTTACCGTGGTGGTGATAGGAACCAGGGGTCTCAACATCCACAACACCAAAATAGCAATTTTATTTACTATCCAAAAAGACCAGTTAATCTACACATGTCTTCTGAGTTTTATATGTAATGTTGATGATGGTAAAATAGTGGTAAATCTGAAACTTTTTGGGGTATTAAAGTTTATCGTAAAACAGTGTCTCAAGCATCAGACAGTGTATTTGTAACCGTTTCCTGTAATAAGCTGCCTGTGAGGGAACTTTCAGAGGCATTAAAACCTTCAGATGTCTGGGTTCAATCACCACTGCTGTGAGTTTCTCTAGAACAGGACATCTTATGTCAACTCTGAATGACTTTGTGTTCGTGTTAATTATGTAATGATGCAGACATTTTGAAAAATCAGTGAAATTCTCGTTTAAGTGTGCATTTCCAAAAGCATATCGCTGTTGTCGAAAGAAAACCTCGTATCTCCAAAATGGTAACTTTACAGGAGAAGGAAAAAACCTCCTTTACTTTTAATGTAAGTCAATGGAACCAGATTTTTCTCCAGATCATTTTGGGCCATTTCTTTTGGTCCATTTTTTATGTAAAGAGCAACAGGTACTTTCAAATTACATCAAAAACTGAAAAACGACAAAAATGGAGATACAAGGTTTTCTTCCAACAGCAGCGATATGTACTCAGATACACTGTATTACAGGATTCCTTGATCAGAGATGAGCAGAGATGGGTCAATTTGGACCTGTGAAGGAAGAGAACTTTATAACAGAGAGATTTGTGCCTTGTAAGCATGTTTAAATTGTACAGAAGGACATGCCGGGGTCCTGAAATCGAAGACTTGAGTTAGGCTGTAGTTCTGAACCATAGTTTGGAGAAAGTGCAGGACTGAGTCCCTCAAGGCTTGAAAAGAAAGAACAACAGAGTTTTGTATTGATTCTTGTTGCCATGCTGGAGCCAGTGGAGTGCTTACAGAGTCACATAAGAGAACTTTATAGGTTATAGACCAGATGAGCAGCAGAGTTTAGCGTGTGGAAGATGGCCAGCTAGTAGGGAGAGTTCAGTCTACTTCAGTCTTGCAAAAGATATTGGCTCTGAAAAGATTAACTGGTCATCCAGAAGTCCATTATGTGATCAACAGTGAGCATATCCACACTAAGCACTATGTACATTTTAGTGAAAGAGCTTATGCTTTAGGCTGTACATTACCAGGCCAGTCTAACTTATGATAATAACACATCTAAAACTTTTTGTCTTGGAGAGCCAAAGTGCAACGTTTGCGGAGGTCCAACCCGACAAAACAATACATTGAAAAAGAAGGTAGGTTCTTTTTTTTTCCTGGTCTATTAGATCTGCCAGGTCACCTGTAAGTGCTACTATTGTGAAATGGAATCATGTAGCAGCAACAACAGCTCTGGCCTAGTACTGAAGCCTGTGGCATATAAAAATCACCTATTTTCTGTTGCATCACTCACTACAGAGTTCCTGACTTCCTCTGGAAGCAACATCAGCACAAGAACTGTGTATCAGGAGCTTCGGTAAAAGGGTTTCCATGGCTGCACAGCTGCACATAAGATAAGATCACCATGCGCAATGCCAAGTGTCGACTGGAGTGGTGTAAAGCAGCCACCACTGGACTCTGGAGCAGAGGAAACGTTCTCTGGAGTGATGGATCACACTTCACTAGTTTGGTGGAGGAGGGATAATGGGCTGGGGCTGTTTTTCAGAGTTTGGGCCCATTAGTTCCAGTGAAGGGTAATGTTAATGCTATAGCTCACAAAGACATTTTAGACAATCATACGCTCCCAACTTTGTGTTAACCATTTGGCAACTTTCTTGTTCCTCCCTGTGCACAAAGTGAGGTCCATAAAGACATGGTTTGACGAGTTTGGTGTGGAGGAACTCCAGTGGCCTGCACAGGGCCCACTGAACACCTTTGGAATGACCTGGAACGTTGATTGTGAGCACCAAACTTCTCGTCTAACATCAGTGCCTGACCTTACAAATGTTCTTTTGACTGAATTGGGCACAAATTCCGACAGCCTCCAAAATCTTGTGGAAAGCTTCCCAGAAGAGTGGAGGCTGTTATAGCCACAAGGGGCTGAGGGAGGGGGCAACTCCATACTAATGTTCGTGGTATTTGAAAGGGATGTCTAACAAGCTCATGTAGGAGTGATGGTCAGATGTCCACATACCTTTGGCCATACAGTGTATTTTAATAAAATAAACATAATTAAGGGTAGACTCATTCAAAGCAAAAAGATTTTAGTCTAGGTCTTAGTCAGTTAAATGTCTAAAATGGGTTTTAAACTGTTACTTTGAACCAATTCGGTAGAATGATCTATATATGGTATTAAAATATGTTCTCTACAGGGTAGAATTCCACAGTTAGCCAGAAGAAGACAGAACGGTTCAACAGGAGAACTATCGGCCAATCTTTACTTCAGGCGTACGCTATTCTTTACGTCTTTGCAGCTTGAAGGGCATTCCAGCCTAAACCTAGAGTTTAATATGTTATTTGTTGTATTATACAGTAATGTAGCACAGCATCATATCCCTCCATCTCTTTGACAATGATTTTTATAATGCTTTTGCTCAATATCCAGCATGGATTACGTAAATATGTATATCCACTATTTTTGATATCAAAAATTCAATGTGAACATGTAAAAATGTTATTATTACTAGTAAAAAACATGGAAGTAGACATGGAAAAAACAAATGTGTCAAAATTCAACTTCTAGTTTAGGATTTCTGTTTCCAGCATGTAAGATTGCAGTTTACACTAGCAACAATTCATGTGTTTTTCCCAATAATTTTAATGGGAGGAACTGACATTATTCATAATTCAGGTAATTCAGAACCATTGGCCAACTGTGTTTGCACACAGAGGAATTAGACCTCCGCATTTAACCCATCCACACAGTGAAACACCCACATACATGCACACTAGTGAACACACACACTAGGGGGCAGTGAGCACACTTGCCCGGAGCGGTGGGCAGCCCTATCCGCAGAGCCCGGGGAGCAGTTGGAGGTTAGGTGCCTTGCTCAAGATCACTTTAGTCATGTCCTGTCGGCTCAGGGGATCGACCCGGCGACCTTCCGGTCACAAGGGTGGTAACTTCCAGCTCACAACTGCCCCATTACTAGTACAAGTTCAAATTTTACAGTTTAAATGTTGACACTGAAATTCTATTTTTATTTTATTAGATGCTAAACTTCTTATCAGTCAAAATTGTTACATGAAAAAATATATTTCCTGCATGTTAAAGTATGTAAAGGAATTGCATTTGGACAATTTAACAGAAGTAAGGAATTTAGTAATACAATTCATTTAAAATTCCCAAGTATAATTCACATTAGGAATAATTATTTAATTTATTTATTTACTACTACTACTACTACTACTACTACTATTATTATTATTATTATTATTATTATTATTATTTATAGAGCACTTTTCATACAGGTGGCAGCTCAAAGTGCTTTACAGACAGGTGATAAAGCTCAACAGTAACCAGAGGAACTATGAGTATTCAATAAAAAATCATATAAGGCAGACAGATCAAACATAAAAGATGAGTACCAAAATATACAAAAATACTTATTTATTTATTAATATATTTAGTAATTTAATTAGTTCGTTAGTTAATTAGTTAGTGCCATACTTTTAACGATAGTTCTGATATCATCCAGCACCAGGCTTGGGAACCGCTGTCCTGCTAACCTTCCATTTGTAGCTGTTATCTTCCTCCTCACCGGTGGGGGGCGGTAGTGCAGCTCAGGCCGCGGCTCGCAGCCTCTCACCACACGAGGAAACAAACCACATGTCCTTTCCGTGCTTTAACGCAAACATGGCAAACTCGAAGGCGTCTGATGAGGATCCGAAACGGGCCGCTGTGTCCGCCGGAGTGTCCGCCGCGCTCTCTCCCCCGGCGGGCGGAGGAGCCGTCGCTTCTCCGTGTTTGTTGCCGACGTTCGCGGAGGCGTGCGCGCTCGTGCAGGCGCCCTACTCGTGTCTGGTGATGGACACGAGCCGCAGACACGTCGCCCTGCCGCCCATGTACCTGAAGAAGAAGCGGACAGGCATTCAGGAGGAGCTGAACGCAGAACTGCTGAAATACTCCAGCAGGTAACGTTAGGACTGTTCTGAAGTCTGTTTACTTTCCTTTTTCCCGTTCCACCTTAAATGGTGCAGCAGTTCCGTTCTGGCGCCTCAGGTTGTGTGTAATTGCTGCACAATTTAAGGTGGAACGGGATAATTCGAACAAGAAGCTGACTTCAGCGTCGTCCTGCATAAGCTGGTGTGGGGCTGTTAAAGGAGAATCCCAGCTGTTTATAAAAATGTCTGCATTAGTTCATGCATAAAGGGAAATTCCACCAAAACTTACACACTCAGATTTCTTTACAGTGGTGGGGATAGGAGACAGGGGCCATAAAGTCTACCACACACATACTGTCATTTTATTTATTATCCAAAACTACCAGTGAACCTACAGTCAACCTTCTGAGTTTTATATGTAATGATGATGGTGAAATAGTGGAAAGTCTGGAAAAAAGAAAGCTTCTCTTTGGGGACTATTTTGTCTTACAGTTCCCTGCATAAACTCCTCCGCCATGAATGGATTGAAATAAACTCATTAGCAGGACTTTTTAGGCCAAAACCTTATCAATAACCTATCGCAAAACAACGTCTCAGCCATCAGACAGTGCATTCATAACCACTGTGCAGTTACTTTCTGTGAAGGAGCTTTTAGAGGCATTAAACTCTTTAGACGTCTGGTTCCCATCACCACCACTGTGAACAATTCTGACTCTGTAAGTTTATCTATACACTTAAAAATGGTTCTACAAGGGTTCTTTAGTAAAGAACATGGTTCTATATAGAACCATTAACACAGTGTTCTTTGCATCATGAAATGGTTCTTCAGAGTGATGGAGAATGTGCTGTGTTTATGGTTCTCTATACAGTCTTTTTGAAAAGGGTTCTATATAGCACCAAAAGATTGACATCATCACAATAGAAGAACCCTTTTTGGAGTTATATAGAACTCTTTTCAAAAAAGATTCTATATAGAACCATATACAGCACATTCTCCATCAGTCTGAAGAACCATTTCATGATGCAAAGAACCCTTTAATCGTGCGGAGAGTTCTTTGAGTGTTCATGGATCTATATAGAACAATTTTCTTGAAGAACCATCTTTTTTAAGAGAGTAGAAATGCAGTGTTTTGTCCCAAACCACCCTGAATGACTTTGTTTACATCTTAACCATTAAATTATGTGCGTGTGTTGAAAAAATTATCATGTTCCCCTTTGAGATTCAAGCAAAGTCATTCAGAGTGGTTTCATGTGAAATGCTGCGTTCTGCATGAACCTGGCGAAGTCAGAGTTGTTCACAGTGGTGGTGATGGGAACCAGACATCTTAAGCGTTTGAAGCTACCATCAGGAATTTGTTGAGTAAAATGGTTATGAATGCTCTGCCTGATGCCTGATGCATAGTTTTTATCATGACTTCCAGAAGTGTGGGTCTCAGACAAATGCATTCATGCCAGAGCTATATACACACAGAAGACACATCAGACCGCTGTGTCAGTAAAATATCCCTGAGACGGGTCGTGTGCAACATAGCGCAAAAGCCCTGTTTCGCAACGACTGAGAACCGCCGTGCAGACTGCAGGTCACATAGCAATGATGCGTTATTCGCGTTTATACGCAGCGCAGTTGGTTTCCTGGTACGTTAAATCTGCAACGAGAGACTGTCAAACACTAAAAAGTGGCGAAGATGAAGTCACTTCTCTTTCGAATTCTTCCGTTCCACCTTATATGGTGCCGCTTTTACATTCGGCGTCTCAGTCAGAATTTAAGGTGGAACGGGAAAATTCGAATAAGAAGCGACTTCAGCCTCGTAAGACAGTCGAATGTTGAGACATTTTACAATAAACTGCTCTAGTTTTGAGGAAAAGTTTTCGGGCGGAGATGGGAGGAAAGCGGCTATAGCTAAAGCTTAAAGCAGAGCGTAAATCTGCGCTCTCGTTTATATTGTTTAGTCTAAACTAGGACTTTATCACATACTGAGACATACTGGACAGTAAATGTTGTGGCTCCCAAGGTGGTTTGACTTTGTTGAAAGGACAAAACGGCTCTTCTTGACATTTGTGTTGCGACTCCTGATCTAACCTGGCTTTAATGCAGAGGGAGTCGGTCGGATTTCTCGCTCATCCAGTTGTGTTTTTGTTGTGTGTCGCCACAGACTGTCTAGGCGCTGCACCTACCCACTTCCGAGTTCCGCCCTTTGCATTCCGTCAACATTACGTTATAAATTAAATATTTAGAAAATTGATTTTTGGCTTTTGTGAATTGATTCAGAATCGTTCACGTCCGCGTCGCGATGCATCTAAGAATCGATTTTTTAAACTCCTTCTGCATAAAACAGTTGTAAAAAATGTAAATGTAAAAAAAAAACTGTGGAATTCCCATTTAAATCAGGGAAAAAACTAACATTTCCATGGGGTTTACCAAAACTGGGATTGCAGGTCACTGGCTCAGTTTGCTAACTGGACAGATCGGTAATGCCCTGATGCTTTTGACCCAGATTTCCAGTCTTCTGGAAGCAGTATAATTTTGGAAAGAGTCTGTTTAGCTGTAGTGATGTTCCTGCTAAAGCACCCCTGATTCACCTCATCAGTTGTTTCCCAGTTTTAGTAGGTCTGTCAGAGCAGGGAAGTCACCAAACTCTGGCCCTCCAGAGCTGGAGCTGGCTATCATATTAACATCTAAGACCAGTGGGATCTGTGACTGCTGTTGCTGCCTTACTGATGATCTTCAGTCTTACTGATAAGTCGGATGTCTCCTGTCTCAGTTTGAAAGGTGTCCCCCTGGCGTATGACCACATCAAAGTTTTAGAACAACATGGCGACATACTGGATGACCAAGGCTTCATTCACTTGAACATCGAGGCCTCGTTTGTGGTCTTCAAACCAAGGAAAGGAGAAAAGCTTGTGGTAAGAATTTTCCTTCATACAGGTTGTTTTTTGTTTTTGTTTTGTTTTTTTTTTTGGCCTGCATGCTTTTTAGCATCAGGAGCTTATTGTAGGGCTGCAACAAAAATTTGATAATTTTCAGTTTAATAACTAAAATATTCAAAAATTGAGAATCCGTTTGAATAACGGACGTTTGAGAAACTATGAACTTTTGTGAGGAAACTAGCGTTTATGAAAATAAGTGCTAACTCACCACTAGTAGAACATAGTTGCCAGCTTTACTCATTGGAGATTGAGGTTTGAGAGTTTGCAAGACTCTCTCAATTACAGGTGACTTTCTGTCCCCCCCCCCCCCCCCCCCAATTGCAGTCCAGATGAGTTTCCTACTTCTCCAGTTTGCCTGTAAGCCTGTCCTCAGTTACATTTATTACAAAGCATAAATAAGTGTGCTGTCTTGCTGGCTAACAAGGGCTTTAAAGTTTTCAGGCTGCACCAGATGTTAACGCCACCATGGCTGAATTTAGCATGTGCTAAACAGTTTTGAGCGACTCCGAAACTTTCATCAGCACCCGGTTTACTGACTAAAGTCTACTAAAAGTTGTTTTCAGTTTTAAGACAGTGGTTAAAAAGACTCCTTTTCCTCCGCTGTCTTGCACCACTCACTGCCGTTCAGACGAAGCTAGCAGCCTGTTGAGGCTTGCCAGATTTGGCTGGATCACAGATTTAATGCAACTTGCTGTGAAAGTAATTGTTTATTGATTTTTCATTTCCTTGAAGTATTTTAAATAAGTATTTTAAATTTATTAAAAAACAAACTATTATAATAATGAGAAGAAGAGGAAAAAAGTTTTCCCCCAATTTTCTCGCTTATTATCCTTAGAATATTCAAGAATATTCAATATAGAATATTCGAGTTGATATAAATTATAGTGATAATAATAATTATCACAATGTCACAATATGCTTTTCTGAGCATAATATGGATATGGTGAGTGTGGTCAGTACAAGAACAGTGACCAACTGCTTGTTTCAGTAACAAGAGAGTGCAGTTATTGCTGTTTAACTGGATTTCATGCAGTGCAGTATGTGACATTTAATTTAAAAATTCTTTAAAATAGAAATAAATAGTCTGTAGTGTTCCTTTTTTATTGCTTCAAACTTGTAAAAAAAATTAATATTGTGACACTGAACTGTAAAAATATCTTTGTAATTTTGCTATTTTTTCCACCCCTATTTTCTTGATACAGCACAGTTATGTTTAATATCTTTTGAATGACAGTCTGTTTCACCTGTTAATACATTGATCTTGTGTAATATTTAGATTTTATGGACTGTGTTCTATTATGTCCTTCACTTAGGGTGTGATAAATAAAATAGCAGTGGGCCATGTGGGTTGCCTGGTGCACGGCTGCTTTAACGCCTGCGTGCTTAAGCCAGCTCAGCTGACCCCTGACCAGTGGAGGGACTCCGGCCTGATGGTGGGAGGCAGCCTGGAGTTTGAAGTGTTCCAGCTGGATGCTGATGCGGCTGGCGTCCTCTTGATTAAAGGAAGATTAGAGAAGCACAGGTATAATGAGCTTTGAAAGAATAGTAAATGTTTACCATGTATTTGTGTGTAAAAAGAAAAAAAAAAGGATAATTAATCATTGGCAGGTCATATAAAACCCATTTATTGTACCGGCCGACCAGAAGGGCACTAGTGCAGTCTAAGGACAAAAGGCCAGGGACTCAGCCCTCTTTGGGGTCTGTCTCTGCATGTGTCTGCTTTAACCCAAACGTAGATCAGCCAGGACGTGGTTAAAATTGGACAAAAATATGTAGCACAATGAAAAAGACCAGTAGCCGTCAGCCTAGAGCCTGAGGTTTGTCTGCACACTCTTAAAGGATGGTGCTTCAAGGGTTCTTTAGTAAAAGAAATGGTTCTACATAGAATCATGAACTCTCAAAGAATGATTTGCATGATTAAAGAGTTTTTTGCATCCTGAAGGTGTTCTTCAGATTGATGGCAAATGTGCTGTAGATGGTTCTGTGTAGAACCTCTTTAAAAATGGTTCTATATCACATCCAAAAGGGATCTACTATTGTCGGCAAGCTTGTAACAAAAAACACTTTTGGGTGCTATGCTATATAAAACCCTTATCAAAAAGGTTCCGTCTACAGCACAGTCATGCACATTTTTCATCAAATCTGAAGAACCCTTTCATAATGCAAGGAACCCTTGAATCATGCAAAGGGTTCTGTGAGTGTTCCTGGTTTCAGTGTCAAGTTGAAGTTACTTGAACCTCTTATTCTCCAGGGTATATTTTGGTTTGTCCATCTGAATTTACATGACCAAATCGAAAGGCAAATTATTCAGTAACTGCATGAAATAAATGTAAATTTTTGTTTTGTTTATTTATTTTTTTGTAAAAGCTCCCCTCAAATTAACAGAACATGTGTTTTATGATCACACATATTGCTATATGCTTACAATTTACTGCTGAAAGCCAAAATCTTAGACGGTCTTTGCATTTTTTTTTATAAAAATAATTTTTACAGAGCAGATCACTGAAGAGACGCCATCTGTTTAAAGTTTATAGCCCAGATTTATGGAAAAATGGGTCGACTTTCAGTAGACAAAAAAATTGTGAGTTCAGCTTCTTTTATTATAAGGGTTTAAAATTACATCACCCATCTATTTGACTGGAAAGAAGACAGTTACAGCTCTCATGTGACCCCCACCTTTTGAATGTAGCTTATGAAATATGAAAGTTATGAATAATATGACGAACTGCGTTTTGGAATCACTTTTGGTCTCAAGGAGTTGAAAAGGTTCATATCTCAACAGTCGAGTTAACTTGTTTGCTAGTTGCAATGCTAATTAGTAGGAATAGGCTTCTTTATTAGCTACTTTAGCCTCGTAGCTTCAGCGCAAAACTAAAGAAGGAATTGACAGATACCAGACATGTCTTGGCTGATTGACAGTATTTAGATTAAGAGGAAAAAGTGAGTTTGATTTGGCTGAATTATTCCTTTAAATTCTGTTGCACACTATTGAGAGTAGTGCCATGTTTGCCTGGTCAGTTGTGAGTTTATCTTGTATTAGGTGGGTTGTGTTAGCTGTGTCTGTGCCACCTTCAAACGCTGTGCTGTTTGGATGTATTTCCAGGGTACAGCAGCTTGTTGCTTCCTTCGGCGGTGCAGGAACTGAGGAACAGGGTGAAAACATGGCAAAGGAAACAGCCACTGAAATGGACTCGGCCACTGCTGAAGAAGCCACCGAGAGCACGAGTCCTTCAAAGCCCAAGAAGAAAAAGAAGAAAAGGGAGAAGGAAATGGACACAGAGGCCGTAGAGGACATTAACAGCAACCAGGCAGCCGAGGCAGAGAGCCATGATGTTAACAGTAACGGAATGGAGGTGGACCCCGATTCCAGCATCCACACAGAGGAGAAAAAGAAGAAGAAGAAAAAGAAAAAGGATAAAAGGCAGGAGGCGAATGAGGAGCTGCCTTCCCCCACCGAGCTCCCAAACAGTGACTCCAGTGGATACGTCAGTGACAAAAGCAGCCGGAAGAGGAAAGCACAGGACGATGAGGGTCTCTGTGATCACTCTGACACACCTGTAGTCAAAAAGAAGAAGAGCAAATGATTTTTTTTTTTTGGCTTTTATGCTGTGACTTTTCACACATTTATATATGATGAAAGTGCCTCATTGTGCCAAGATGCCTTGAAATGTATTGCCATTGGTAAGATAATTAAATAAAGGACAGATGGCGTGGCGGCATGTATTTTCACCTTGTCACCAGTAGAGGGCAGCATGTAGTTTTAAATGTCCTTGCTGTTTGCAAAGAGTTGTGGATTCAAAACTTGCTTCAGAACTTAAAAGGAAAACATATGAAACGTCATTGTGTGCATTTCTGCACCAGGAATTACAGGCAGATTTATAATGAGCCGTTGCCCCTTCTTGAATGCCCCCTAAGTTAGGTAATAGAGATCAAAACAAAAGAACAGATAACACTGTCTTACAGGATCACTGTATTAATCCTCAGAACAAGAACTGAGATTTTTTTTATTTTTATTTTTGTGAAAAAGGCTAAAGCGTCTACTTGCGTACCTGCCTGAGAAGGGCTTCCCCAGCTGGATCGAGCTCTGCGAGCCAGCGCGCACTTGCTTTGCGCCAGCATTTCATGTCGAAGGTATAAAGTTTCTAATTTTACATGCACAGGAAACATAAAGGGCTGTTCCAAACCTCAAAAAAAGATTTCTGACTCCAGAGAGAAAGAAGAGAAAAAAATCTGAAGGAAAAACAGCGTTATTGGCAGGTGTTCAGTCTGTTCCATGCTGTGGCTTCTGAAGAAATATTCCCACCTCTGCACACTAGCTGTGGGTCTATATGAGCTCCATCCTGCAGGTGAATGCATTAGAGACTGCTGATTAGCCATGTTTTTGTTAAAGCCTAGAGGTGAGCAATAGAGCAAAAATGTAATATTGTAATATGAAAGGCTTTCGCCCGATGATAGCTGGGATAGGCTCCGGCACCCCACCGCGACCCAGAAGGGTAAGCGGTTTAGATGATGATGAATATGAAAGGCACAATAGTGCCAAAACACAAATATTTTTGTTTTTATTCAGTTTAATAAGAAAAAAAAGAAAGATAATGGGCTAACATTGAGTCCGTTCAGAGTTACTGTAATCTTCTCACAAATGTGATTGAAATTTAAATGCCAATTTGGCTCATTATAGAGCAGATATTGCAACTTTTTGTGTGTTTCCTGTGGTCATTTAGCCGTTACAGTGTGACTAATGACTATCAGCCAATTTGGAAAGGATAATTGGCTAGAAATACTAGCCAATGTGTGAAGGCCTCATGTAAATGTGTAGTGATATAATGTATTGTGATAACTTTATTTTACAGTACCCAAAGTTCTAGGTCAGTAGTTCTCACACTGGTCCTCAGGGCCCCCCACTTTTTTTGAAGGAAAAATGTGGATCAGCTGGAGGGCTCTGAGGACCATGTTGGGAACCACTGTTCTAGATACTAGCCCAGGTAAGTGTGGGATACCAGCTCCAATAGGAGTGCAGGTTCCAAGACAGTCTAACTGATATGATATGAAGATTTATAGTAAAATACCTCCTAAATATAACAAGCTGGTCAGTACAAACTTCCTCCTACACTAAACTTCACTGTAATGTTTCACGTTTATGTATGAAAGTAGATCAGAAACACCTTCAAGGAACAGATAAGTTGTGTAAAATTACGGGACAAAAAACAAATTTCTTGATTTTAAGGAACCATTAAAAAACATACTGAGAATCATTGAGTTTCCAGTGATTTTCCTTTCTAGGTAAAAGACAGTTACGTTCTATGTAAGACTCTTTGTGCTTTAACTCGTGTACCATATAGTAACCTGGTCATTTTTACCCAAAATAATTACCCAGTATTTTGGAGTTTGTACCACATACTCACTTAAAGGACAACTCCACCACCTTTTTCAAAATTTCTGTATAAATCAGGGGTTGAGATGTAAACAGAGTCACTGAGTGGTTTGATGTGAAAGGTTCATTGTGGAGAAACTTGCAGACTCAGATTTCTTTACAGTGGTGGTGATAGGAACCAGGGGTCGTGATGTCTGCAACACAAATATAGCCATTTTATTTACTATCCAAAACCACCAGTCAACCTGCACATCTTCTGAGTTTTTATATGTAATGTTGATTATAAAATGATCTGAAAAAAATTTTATAACTATAACTAATGTTCACTGTTTTGCCTCACAATCCCCTACATGCATTCCTCCACAATGAACGGGTTTTAGGTCAAAATCTTCTTAAAACTACCATAAAACAGTGTGTCAGATATCAGACAGCGTATTCATAATCATTTCAGTTAATAACTTTCCGTGAGGGAGCTTTTAAAGGTGAACATCTGGTTCTTTTCACCACCCCTAACATTTCTGACTTGGTAAGTTTTTCTAGAACAAAATGTTGCACATTAAACCATCCTGAATGACTTTGTTTACATCTTAACCATTTAATAGTGCAGAAAGTTTGAAAAACCCATGGAATTTCCCCTTTAATACCTACGATCTGTGGGCATTTCAGTGTAATTTAGTTGGATTGCCTTGAAACTTCCCACCCTAAAATGTTTACCTAGTATTTTGAGGTTTGTGCCTGGTTAATATCTAGAACTTAAGGGACTGTAAAAGAAAGCGTTACCATGATAACCTTGTCATGTCATCCCCTTCTACACTATTATTTCAGTCTTTTTAAAGTTTACATTTCATTTAACCATTGAGCTGATGGGCTGGTGGTTATGGGGCCCCTAAACAGTCAAAAGTTGCATGAAACAAAGGCTCAACAAATAAAATGTATGATCCTCTATCGCTGTTCTGCAGTTGCGACTCACCTGGGATGTTGTGTATGTGAGAAACCTTTGTTTACTGCTTCGCATTGGCCCATTGTTTTCTTTTATAGTCTAAACTGTGCTAGAACGCCGTAATCTTGATGGCATCCCATCTTTCTTCCCATGTATTCGACTCCCCTCTTCACTGTTACTCCACCTCATCACTGATTCAAGCTCTGCTGTTTTTTTACAGTAGTGCGTTCCTGTATGTATGTGTGGAACAAAGAGCAGCACCTGGCCTTATTTCAGTTCTACGTCAGCGGGGATTACGCACAGACTGATACATTGTGTTTTTCTTTTGCCCCCTTTGTTTGAAATAGACACACTGGGCCTTTTTCACAAGTTCACAGTAGTCTGGCTCTCTTACCCCACAAGACCCAGAACGCTCCCTAGGAGGCACTTTTTTTCCCCCCACAAAGCTTTGCAGGAAGGCAGCCAGGAGCACTCGTATTTTGAATTGTTCCCGCTTTGTTTTTCCACTACCTGGAGGCAGTGGGGGTGCTGGAGCCTGAAGGGTTTGGCGGCTTTATTGGGCCTCAAGCTCTGATAAGTGGTCTCATGTTGTGATTTATGTTTTCTTGGAGCTCATTTAAGAGCGCAGAGTGGACAGAACTGCCCAGAAATCATACCTCGAGCGTCTCTGACGCTTCCTCCTGTGGCAGCTGCTCAGAAACACTTTCAGGTTGCACTGACCCTGAGCAAACATATTAGCCCTGGACCGGACATCCGAGTCACTCTACGGATTTCTGGGCTTTGTGCAAATGCAAGTGCATTACTAATTCTTGCAAATGTTCAAAGATAAAAAGAAACAAAGTTACCAGAAAAGTTTCTTTGGAGTAACAACTGGAGGAGCAACTTTTGGTTCCCTGGAGATCCTTTCAGTTGATGGTTCTTTAAAGAAGCATTTTTGTAAATCAGACGTGTGAATGTGATGAATGTTTTTGGAAGTTTAAAGAACGTGTACATAATACAGCCCCGATCAAGAACCATTTAGGAGCCTTTATATTTTAAGAGAGTATGTCAAAAGTTCAGTCTCAACCTCAACCTTTTTTTTTTCCAGTGTTTATTAGGTTATGAAAGTTGGAAAGTTCTGTGCAGGCCCCATGAGAGGGCCACCCCCTGTTATTTTGGGGGATTTTTACATTTTCAAAAGAAAAACATACTTTTTACATTTACTCCTTATACTTTCATTTATACCTTCAAAGTACACCCAAAGTGGTTCTGTCTCTCTCTCTCTCTCTCTCCCTCTCTCTCTCTCTCTCTCTCTCTCTCTCTCTCTCTCTCTCACTCTCTCTCTCTCTATCTATCTATATCTCTCTATCTATCTATATCTCTCTCTTTATATTACCAATTATTAGGGGTGCAGGAAAAACTCGATTCTTAGATGCATCATGATGCGGACGTGAACGATTCTGAATCGATTCACAAAAGTCAAAAATCGATTTTCTAAATATTTAATTTATAACGTAATGTTGACGGAATGCAACAGGCGGAACTTGGAAGTGGGTAAGTGCGGCGCCCGGACAGTCTGTGGCGGCACATAACAAAAACACTACTAGATGAGCGAGAAATCCAACCGGCTCCCTCTGCATTAAAGCCAGGTCAGATCAGGAGTCACAACACAAAGGATAAGAAGAGACATTTTGACCTTTCAACAAAAATCAAACCAGCTTAGGAGCCGCAACATTTAATGTCTCAGTATGTGATAATGTCCTAGTTTAGGCTAAACAATATAAACGAAAACGCAGATTTACTCTGCTCTGCTTTAAGCTTTAGCTTAAGCCGCTTTTTCTCCAACTCCGCCAGAAAACTTCTCCTCAAAAGTTGAATAGTTTCTTGTAAAATGTCCTGTTTTACGAGGCTGAAGTCGCTTTTCACTTGCCAGCTTCTTGCTGAACTTGCCCATTCCACCTTAAATTCTGACTGGCTCAGAATAATCGTATTATAATCGCATCGCAGCCCGTAATCGAATTGAATCGCGAGGTGCCTAAAGGTTCCCACCCCTACCAATTATATTGCCAAAAGTATTCGCTCGTCTGCCTTCACACGCATATGAACTTGATTGACATCCCATTCTTAATCCTTAGGGTTTAATATGATGTCGGTCCACCCTTTGCAGCTATAACAGCTTCAACTCTTCTGGGAAGGCTTTCCACAAGATTTAGGAGTGTGTTTATGGGAAATTTTGATTCTTCCAGAAGCGCATTTGTGAGGTCAGACACTGATGTTGGACGAGAAGGCCTGGCTCGCAGTCTCCACTCCAATTCATCCCAAAGGTGTTCTATCGGGTTGAGGTCGGGACTCTGTGCAGGCCAGTCAAGTTCTTCCACACCAAACTCGCACATCCATGTCTTTATGGACCTTGCTTTGTGCACTGGTCCTTTACTTTTAGTGTAAGTCAATGGAATTGGAGTTTTTTCTTTTTCTGGGGTCATTTTTTGGTCCATCTTGAAATTTACACACAATATTAAAGACAAATTGTGTAAAAAAACTGAAAAAATGCCAAAAAAAGAGATACAAGGTTTTGGTCCGACAGCAGTGAGAGATACACACACACACACACACACACACACACACACACACACACACACACACACTACCAAATAAAAGGTTATTTGACTTGTAACAATAGTGGAAGCACTTACTGAGTGCTGACATACTTTGCAGGGAACAAAATTAAATATGATATTTTGTCTGAAAATTTTAGTGCACAATTTCTGCTTATTTGTACAGTTTAACATATTGGAAAAAATATATATATATATAAAATGTGCTACGTGTTTTGTATTTGTTTCCTAAAATGTTAATTGATCAAGTAAACAATTCAGTGTTGAATTCTCCGTAGCCCAGGAGATTTTTCTCTTTTTCTCATGCCGGTCAGTTTAGTTCTTGTGCATCTCATCGTTGTAAAATGACACCATGCACAACTATGCTGATTGTCTTTTTGAGCAGATTAGTGCTGCCCATTAGTCTCCACACAACACCAAACAAAGACAATTTGCAATTTATCTCTTTAAATATTTAATTAGTACTTGTATATACTTGATTGTTTAAATGTAGATACTTTTCGACTTTAAAGTATATCATCCCTTTCTAAAGAAAAACAAGTATCTCCAAAATGATACTTTAAAGAAGAGGCAGCGACAATATGCTGGCCTCCCTGCCTTCACTTTTAATAAACATTTAACTTAAGTGCAGTTTCTCTGTATATTTTTCTCCTCTGGGTGTGGAAACACCTTTAAAAAAGCAGGTTCTTCATAGGTTCTTCAGTAAAGGAACCAGTAGAACACTTAAATGATTCTTTGTGTGATTACTTCTTCTCTATGATGGAGATTGTCTTCGGCATTGGGCCAAAAACG